CCAAGGATGATGTGGTAGACGTTGGGGAGCCCCTTTTGAGGGCCTTACCTTGCCTGGGGAGTGGAGGGGGGATGGCTAGGGGCAGGTGGGATGTTGCAGGGGAGGGGAGGGAGAGGGAGAAGGGATGGACATCTGAAGCAAGCTTGTTCCTAATTTGAACTAATAAAATAAAAAACAAAACAAAACAAAATACAAAATTCCTTTTAAAGGTTCAAACTGTGGACTCCTAAAAAAAACCCAAAATTAGATTTAATACTTTCTTACTTGGAGAGGGAAGAACCAGGGCACAGTCACAATCTGTACAAAGCAAAACCAAACTCCAAAAGTGTAAATAACTCAATGTCCAATTATTTGGGATTCACTCATGATCTTCTGCATTCCAAGGGATTTGAGTCACCTCTCCAGCTCTGCCCTCTGCAGCAAACACAGCTCGTCCTCCAGGCTTTGGCAGACTCCACACCACTGCTGCTACTGTTCTGGGTGGTCATCCCATGGTACTGGCATCTCTAAAATGCTGGGGCCTTCTGCCGCAACCAGCCTGTACTTTCTTTCACCAATACCCTCTCATAGGCTCTCCTAATGGTGCCAAGCCTCAACATTTCTCCATGACCCCTTCAATTCTGGGTCCTCATCTGCTACTGAGGCCCACCTTCTCTAATGGCCTATCCTGGCTTCTCACAGTGGTGAGGCTTGACTGCTTTTCAGGACCCCTCATGCCTTCAAAACCAGTACCACCTGAGTGACTCTTACACTATCAAGTGGCTGCCAGCACAATGTGCAACTTTGGCTATCTCTAAACACAGCTTGCATAGGCTGTCTCTAAGGAAGCACTTCCCAGAAGATTTCACCTCATTGATGCTGGTATCTTCTTAATCATAGATTCTCTAGCCCTTCTGGCCAACATCCATTGTCCCAGCAAAACAAACGTTTCTCTTTAGTGGTTTTAGTCTCTTATTAATCATAGCTGATTCTTCAGCTCCAACTGACTGGACACCATAGATCCTTCACACAAATGGCCCAGCAGAGTCTTTTCTTCCCTTTGAAACTTCTTATGAAGTCAGGCCTTTACCATCTGTGTTACTTTCAACATTCTTGTCTTCTAAGCTCCTTCTGAACATCCCACTGAGCTGGTCAACACCCAGTTCCAAAGTTCCAAAGTCCTTCCACAATCCTCTCCCAAACACCATCAAGTCCATTACAGCAATAATCTATTATGCTGGTACTAATCTGTCTTAGCGTTACTATTGCTGTGATGAAAGATCATGACCAAAAGCAAGTTGGGAAAGAAAGGGTTTATTTGGCTTATGCTTCCATAGCACTGCTCATTAGCAAAGGAAGTCAGGACAGAACTCAAACAGGGTAGGAACCTAGAGGCAGGAGCTGATGCAGAGGCCATGGAGGAGTGCTGCTTTACTGGCTTCCCCCTTGGGGCCAGCTCAGCCCGCTTTCTTATAGAACTCAGGACTATGAGCCCAGGGATGAGACAACAAAAATCAGCTTCCACCCCATCAATCACTAACTAAGAAAATGTCCTACAGGCTTTATTATGGAATTCACTCTTATGGAGTCATTTTCTTAGTTGAGGTTCCCTTTTCTCCAGTGATGTTAGCTTATGTAAAGTTGACATAAAAGTAGTCAACACAGCCAGGAATATATGTACCTATAAAAATACTCTGGCACCCATAATGTTCCATTTTCCATGGAGTCTCGTGTTAGGGAATTAAGTGCACCTGTATCCTATTGCTGTATAAAACTAAGCAACTACCAGAACTTGACTATTAGCTATATTGGGAGGCAGCTACCCAGAGGAACACCCCTAGGAACCTCCACTGAGTCAGCCATTACCATTTCATGCAAATCATAATAGATGCCATTACTCCATGTAAAACTTCATAGCTAACAAAGTCAAACAAGAGCAAAATTGACCCTCTTTCAATGTTTTGTCCTATGTGAATACAAGAATACCAGGAGATAATATTCTAAGCCTACAACATTTTGATGTTTAGAGATGAGGCTTTATGGCATCCATTCATAAAGACATACTAAATAGAATAGTTTTACAATGGCCTTTAACAAAATTGAACTGATTAATAACCCTGGTAAATAACTTACTACAGCTCTATCAGATGCAACATTTGAGAAGCAACTTACATCTAAAGAATCCTCCTTCAATAGGATGAGGGCCATATTCTGTGACACCAGCCGACAGGAATACCCTGAAAGGGAGAAGGGACAGCATGTGAATGTCATTCTTCCTGAGAATCCCTGATTCAATGACTGAGACAACCTCGCTTCTTTTTTGAAGACTTACTCATTTTTTATTTGTGTATGTGTGAGTGTATACACACATGTATGTGAAGTAGTCAACCTGTGCACTTGAGCAAAAGTCAGAAAAGGGTTTCTGGGGTCCTCCTTTACCACACTATCCCCATTTCATTGAGACAGGGTCTTCCCCTAAACAAAGAGCTCATGTTTTCTGAGTCAGGCTAGAAGCCAATAAGCCCCAGCCATCCTCCTGTCTCCACCCCACTTGTAGCCAAGGTTACATGCCTATGCAGAGATCCATCTTACAACCTCCTCCCTTACGTCTACCTTGTCACTATTGACTAGAGGACTAAGGACATAAGCCTAAACTCAATTTGACCATGCAAATAGCTTGAAGAGAAAAAGCTGATAAGGTCTTTACAACTAATGGCTAAAATAAGTACTTGCCAATTTTCTGTGGATTTTTTTTCTTTATTCTGGCTATTCTTGTATAACATTAAGATAAACCTTGGTTTGTCTAAAATAACAGCAGATTACAGAGGAGATGAATGAAATCAATCTCAAGCAAGTTCACCTTTTTCTTTTGAAACCTGGCAATTCTCAAAAGTTTCAAGGAATGCCAAGTATACCATGGGAGCCACTCTCCTGCCAAAAGAGTAACACAATCTCCATTTAAAGAAGGGAACCTAAATTTAAGTTAACACAAAGGCTTAAAACAAAATATTTCCAATTAGAATCAACAATTTCAATTTTTTAAATCAAACTATCTCTCACTAAGTATGTTTGACAAAGTTTCAAAGAATTGTATAATTTTTATTTATCTAAAATTAATTTATATGAAATCATCAAAGCATATGATGTATATTAAAATGAAATTATGCCTATTAGACTAGTAATACTCCTCCACAAGAGTCAGACTATCTAGCAAAAACTCAAGTACCATGCATGAGAAAACTCATTTGAGTTATTGGACAGACTGGGCCAAATGACTCCCAAAACAATATAGGCTATTGCCATTGCCCTTGGTTGCCTCTCAGAGGTTGAAAGCAACTAAGTTCCTATTGCTGAAAACCATACATTTCCAACACAAGACTCAGAATAAGCAAGCTGGATCTAACCTGAAAGCCTCTTTCCTGCAGTCTAGCTTTCCTAGTATCAGAAAATACTATGTAAGCTCCCATGTAGTGGAAACAATCAATAGTCCTATTTATCTGTGGAGCCAATGAACTGTAACAATGACCAGAATGGCAAAATATCCTTAAAGGTGTAATAGTGGCATCATATCTCTGCAGTAACCAACAGCTGTCTAATTGGACTTAAGGTCTACCTGATAGGAGGGAAATCGTGCCTGGTACAAGAAACCTAGCTAACTACCTGGTCATGATTCTTAGAAAAAAACTACTACCCCTGACAGACACAAACAAGAACTGGAACACAGACAGAAAATAAAACCAAGAAAATCTGAGGATTTGCTTTTGTTTTTTCATAAACAATAAATATTTTCACTTGTGCATTTTGGAATGTGCACCCTAACCTTCTCTTAGGATTGTCATTTGTTTAAAAGAAATATTTGGTAAGGTGCCTTTCTTAAGGTAACGTTGTTAAAGATCAAACTAGTGTAGAGTGAGCATCATATCCCAAGTGCTTGAGACTAGACATATTTCATATTTTGTAGCTTTTTTAAGTATGTGTATACAAAGCATGCCTTAATTTCAAAATGTTTTCATAAATATTATTGGTTGAACATTTCTAATTGAAAAGTCTAAAATCCAAATGCTTCAAAACCTGAAACTGATCAGTTTGGGATTTGGGAGCACTTAAGATTTTAAAGTTTAGAATTAAGGTTGCTTAAGGTATGCCAGGTCTCAGGCTCTTGACTTCTGATCGGGGCCTATTTAAAGAGATTCCAGAGCTCTCTCAAAACCTGCCTTGTGAAATTGGAGGTGGAGAATGTAGGACATGGAGCTGTCTCACTGTTTACACTATAACAACTTGACATCAAGGTGCTTAGGGCTTTGGATATTCATGTTTTGATTGGCAGCATTTTCTTAGTGGGACATATCAGAAGAGCTCATTTGTAGATTTGGTGACATCTATTACATTTGGGATTGTTGGTTTCTTTAGCAATTGTTTATCTACATCTGTTTCTACCCATAGTAATTTTAGAGCTAAAAATCAATTAAAACTTTTTAACACACATCGTGTGTGTGTGTGTGTGTGTGTGTGCGTGTGTGTGTGTGTTGTGTGTGTGTGTGCGGGCGCATGAGCACACACTTGTGGGCATTAAAGGATAACTCCCAGAAGTCAGTTCTCTCCTTCCCCCATGTCAATTCTAGGGATCATCTGAGTTCCAGGGATCAAACTTGTGTCATCAGGCTTGGCAACAAGCACCTTTACCCACTGGGCCATTTCGCCAGCACTCAAACTTATTTTTATGATACTTGGGTGATGGGGGAAGTCCTTCTGTGTATATGTTTCTCTTATTGGTTTATGAATAAAACACTGTGGCCAATAGAGCATGGAGATTAGGCAGGACTAGGAGATGAGGAGAGTTTCGAGAAATGCAGGCAGACAGAAGACACCATGTGAAACTGGGAAGGTAGGATGCACCAGACCCTTCTCCTGTAAGATAAGACCATGTGGAAATACTTAGACTAATAGAAATGGGTTAATAATTAAGGCAGAGCTAGCCAAAAAGAAGCCCTAGTCATAGGCCAACAGTTTCACAATTAATCTAGGGTCTGTTTGTTTATTTGGGGCTCGAGGGCGGTGGGACCCTGCTGGGACAGAGAACCTCTCATTACACTTGGGTTTGAATGTAGAACCTCCCACTCTAATTCTCTACTAGCTATTCTGCCAACTGTCTAATTTATTTTAAGTATATTTTTCTACAATACCTTAGAAATTAACTTAGTCAAATTAAGTTCTGGGATATTTATGTCTTGTGAGCAACAGTGGTTTATGAGGATAAATTGACCATCTTGCCCCTGGGGGCCAGATCCTACAGAGTTAACTAGCTGTGGAGGGAACTGGAAAAAAATTAATCTTAAAACTCTGGCATTATAGGTTACTTCCACATTCTGGCTATTATGAATAAAGCTGCTATGAACATAGTTGAGCAAATGTCCTTGCATCCTTTGGGTATATGCCCAGGAATGTTACAGCTGGGTCTTGAAGTAGGTTGGTTACCCAGTTGTCTGAGAAACTGCCTTATTGATTTCCAAAGTGGCTGTACAAGTTTACACACCCTCCAGCAAAGGAGAACTGTTCCCCTTCTCCACATCCTTGCCAGCATGAACTGTCATTTGTGTTACTGATCTTAGCCATTCTGACACATATAAGATGGAATGTCAAAGTAGTTTTGATTTGTATTTCCCTGATGGCTAAGGATGTTGAACATTTCTTTAAGTGTTTGTCAGTCATTTGAGTTTCCTCTATTGAGAATTCTCTGTTTAGATCTGTACCCCATTTATTAAATTGGATTATTTGGTTTTTGATATCTAGTTTCTTGAGTTCTTTATATATTTTGAATGTTAGTCCTCTATTGGATGTTGGTTTAAAAAAAATATTTTCCCATTCTTCCATTTTCCCATACGATGGTATCCTTTATATTACAGAAGACTTTCAGTTTAATGAGGTCCCGTTTACTAATTGTCGATGTTATTGCCTGCTCTATCAGTGTTCTGTTCAGTTGTCTCCTGTGACAGTGTGTTCAAGGCTATTCCCCACTAGGCCCTCTGCACATATGTTACACTTGTATAGTTTGGTCTTCTTGTGGGTTTCCTAACAGTGGGAGTAGGGCTCTGACTATTTATTACCTGCTTTTGGGACCCTTTCCTCCTACTGGGTTGCTTCAACCAGTCTTAATAGGAGAGGGTGTCCACTCTTACTGTAACTTGATATACCGTGGCTGGTTGATATACATGGGAAGCCTGGCCTTTTCTTTCTTCTTCTTTTTTAAATTTCATTTAATTTTATTAACATTTTCTCATTTATTTTACATACTGACCACAGTTTTCCCTCTCTTCTCTCCTCCCATTTCCCCCTACTCCCTCTATACATCCCCATCCACTTCTCGATCTCCTTTTAGAAAGGGGCAAGGCCTGCCCTCTTCTGAAGAGAAAGAAGGAGGGAATTGAGGGAAGAGAGAAGAGGGGATGGGAGGTTTCAGGGGGCTGGACTTAGAGTAGAGGGAGGGAGGGAGAGGAAGTTGATAGGGCTGGAAGAAAGTATTAATAAAAATTACATTTTAAAATTTTTGGCATTATAGTTTAAAGCGGGATTTCAGAGGAGACTTTTTCAAATCCCATAGTTGTCACTTCTTTAAAGCTATGGGATAATGATCTACCAAACAATTTTACAGTGAATGCCAAGTTTTCAGTCTTTGTTATTTTCTTATGTCTGTGGGATTAATGAGACCCCAAAGTGCTACTGTGTATTCATTCCATTTTAAAGTCTTGAAGATGAAAATAATTTTCATTTCAAATTATTTCTAAGTTGGCTATGTGAGCCAGTCTCTCAATGTCCCTGAATTTTACCAGCTACCAACTATGGCTTTTAAACACTTAGGGTCTTATAAATTTATTTTAAATAATAAAAAACTCATTAATTCAGTTAACATTAAAGTGGTTATTAGAAGCTTACTGTTCATGAAACGATCTGCTGTGGTGCCTGTTCACACTGCTATTGACTATGCATGGCCGGCTCCTTCAGAGGGAAGAAACCCTTATTCCCAGCTGAATTAGGCCACACCAGTTATTTGAATGGCAGAGGTTCCAACCTCAGTGGTTATTGATCAAAAAGAAAATATCAAGACTTGCATTTCTTTACAATGTGAGGCTAGAGCAGTTGCCAGCACTCTACAGTGAGGTGGTTCCCAGTAAATGTAACTCCTTTATACCAGGAGGTGACCATTGCTTGCTTTAAAGGTCAAACTGAAGTATAAAGAGAA